CTGCACAATCGAAGACATCGAAGAAGATTCGCATGAGTGTTGAAGTGTCTCAGATCAGAACAGATCTCAATTTTATCACTACTACGTTATGGTTGACAGAAATGATTTAATTTAAAAGAAGCAATTCAAATAACCTATACTCAAGACATTGTACACCTAGCTATAACAACACCGTTAACGCCTCATTCAGTAGGACTTACATTTGAAATCCCTTTATACAAACTCAGATTAAATCTAACACAATATAAGCTAGCATTATCATTTGCTATTACGCTAGGACTGTTGCTGTATTGGAACGCACCCATTGTCTTCTGTGACATCGTGTCACACGCTAATTTTTTAAAAAAAATCCTGATCCAATTCCTACATCGCCCCTGAAGCCTTAGTTAGTGCAATTGGGACACTCTCCCCGGAAATTCCATTCTCACCCTTTTTTCTTGGAAGAACACCTGGCTCAGTATCTGTGATCTCACCCACCACATGAACGTGTGAGTGCACGAGTTTCTTAACCGTAGCTGAGTTTTTAGAGAGAAAAACACTTTAACTTTAATTTCAGTAACAACTAACTTTGTACTTTGACTTTCAAGCACTCGTATAAATATGAGGAGCGAAAGACGCTCATTAGCATTCGAATTTGTTAGTATCCTACTCCACGACGAGCTGTTGCGTGTTTATTTTTTTGTATCCTGTCCTCGTTAGGAGGTAAAGATGGCGTCATCATCGCCATTGATGTGTTTCTTCATTACCATGTTTTAAGTTTTTTAAAGCTTTGGCTTACTCCAAAAGTCCCAACTACCTCTNCCTCCCTGTTATCAAAAGGTTCCTACATTTCAGTATTGATTTCTTACTTACCTAATGAATTGACTTACGAACCATCATAATTACATTTTTTTCCCCTATTTAACTTTTAACAATAATTGAAACAGTATATATTCAGTAAGGTGATTATAGAACACCCTGTCTGTTCCTTTAGCTCAACTCATTGTCTATATTTTTCTGCTTTATAATTCAGGCAGTTCCGCAAAAAAAAGTAACAGCAAAAATTGTCCAAACATTGGAAAGTTTAAAGACTTTTCATTGAACTAAGCAAATGGAAACTTCAAATAAATTTTAACGAAAATATTTCTTGGTAATTTATTTTTAATTAATTTCATTTCAATTATTGAAATGCACCTTATATTTTAGATTCGCAGCACTTTTGATAATGTAAAATATTATATAAATAATATATTTATTTAATACTCATATAATAATACTTTAAAAATAGTATAATCCATTTAATAATAAAAAACTGAATAGAATAATGAATTTAATCTTAAAGTTTAAAATACTTTAGGCAATACATTTTGACTAATATTACAAATATGTTAAAGGGCTCACCTTGGTATTGCCTTCGTCGCAGATGCAATACAAGAGAAGTCGCATATGACAGCCCTGTAATCTTGCGAGATTAAGATGTTGTCTGCTTTTAAATCCCAGTGGCAGGCCTCATAAGAGTGCAAATAGGTCAAACCACAAGGAGTATCATAAAGCCATGATTTGAGGCAGTCTAGAGCACATGATTGACTCAAAAAGTGCCTGTCTAGAACTGCATTTTTCAAAGTGCCCCAGTGTACGGGCATTAAAAAAAATCCTAGATCCGGGTTACTGAAGCTAAAATATTGCAGGTGGGGAATAATATTTAGGTGACGCATTTTTGACCAAATTTCAATTTCATATATTTATTTTTTTAGTGACTTCAAGAGACACAACTTTGACGGTAACTTCTTGGCCAGAGAAGTTCATCATTTTATATACGTCACCAAAAGCGCCAGACAAAAGCTTTTCGATGCATACGAAGTGGTTAGCTTCTAAAACTTTCTCGGCATCTCTTTTGTGTTGGTATTGCTGCCCGAATAAGTCCAGTTGTTGTATTCTTCTAAATTTTAGAAACTACGTGTCTGAATTGGAGGAAAAGTCCCGCAGTGGACTGATCTTTAAGAGACACGGTTCCCAGCAGATCACCGAAGTCAAGCATCACTGACTGCGGTCAGCGTGCGGGTGGGTGACTACTTGGATCAGTCTGCGTAGGGACCGAGGGTGTGCGGTATTGGTCCTCGTTAAACTGTTGTACCTTAAAGTGCTAGACTTCACATGCAGGTCGTTGGGCTACCGAACGGGGGTGCCATCCCCTCTGCTGAAAATCAAATTTGTGATGGCTTGTCTTCGGATCATCCTCAGGGATGTTTCCCAGACCGTCGCCAGTAGCGCATTGTGCGAGCGGTGATGGCTCAGGGGATAGAGCGTTCGCCTTCCAACGAACCGGGTTCGAATTCCAGGCGATACAAATTCCGCATCCGGCTTGCATCGACCACAGTGCTGACGTGAAAGATCCTCAGTGGTAGACGGATCATGGGTTAGAGTCCCCTCACCGTCAGGCTAACTGTGGGAGGTTCTCGTGGTCTTCCTCTCCATGTAACGCAAATGCGGGTTAGCTCCATACAAAAGTCCTAAACGAAGGCAAATTTCTCTCAATACTCGATCCAGGAGTTCCCTTATCTTCTGGATTGGGTTCAAAATTACAAGGTTACGAAGTTAAACATTTGTAGTCGTAAACCCATAAAATTGGGTCGGCTGTTCAACGACGGTTATAAAATAAAAATAAAATAGCTCATTGTGCAGCTCTAGTAGACGTAAATTAACTACAACAACAACATTAATCTATCGTATGAACATAAAAAATCTACATTTCGTAAATCCATGGTTTTCTAGGGTGAAATTCAGCTAAATTTTTGCAATTACAATGTAAAAATTTGTCCAATGAAAAGCCTGAAGTTGTACATATCGTAAAATTTAAATACTTCCAAAAGTTCGGTTCTTCATTACTGAAGTAGTGACACAAAGGGGGGGGGGCCCAAAAGAAGTTTTTGCCCCAGGCCCTAATTAATCTAAGTCGGGCTCTTCTTGACCCAAATCGTGATCACTTTCATCAAAATGATTACCTATTTTTCAAATTTCCCAATTCGATTTGCTGTTAAGCAAGAGCTCTAAAGAGCACAATCAGTTTTGAAAGCGCAAGTTAAAATGATCAAAAGTGATTTTACAAAGTATTTTTACAAGTTTTTAACAATGAATATAGTTTATTGTGCATGTACTGACAGTCGTATTTTAATTGTTAAGCGATAATGAAATTTTTCATACTATGAACTCTCGATTACATTTTCTATTGTTAAAAATCTGCAATTGATTGTTAGAAAACAATAAATGAAATATACAGTCAAAATTTTATGTTGTTGAAGTTCAACTATAAAATACTAAATAAAAACCAAAGTTTTTTAAAACGATAATTTCTAAATACCCATAAATAATACGTTTCATTAAAGAGGTAAATTCGACATGACACCACAATGTATTTATTTAAAATCCTACAATAATAGTTAAGCAAGGAAGAATAAAAAAATTCTATCGGATTTCGAATTTTTAGTGATGAAAGCGGATCGAAAAAGATATCAAAATCTGTTCGATTGCTTTATAGGTTGCAAGTGTTTCGAATAATAATCTTTTTAACTTTTTTTTCTCCTCCCTGTTATCAAAAGGTTCCTACATTTCAGTATTGATTTCTTACTTACCTAATGAATTGACTTACGAACCATCATAATTACATTTTTTTCCCCTATTTAACTTTTAACAATAATTGAAACAGTATATATTCAGTAAGGTGATTATAGAACACCCTGTCTGTTCCTTTAGCTCAACTCATTGTCTATATTTTTCTGCTTTATAATTCAGGCAGTTCCGCAAAAAAAAGTAACAGCAAAAATTGTCCAAACATTGGAAAGTTTAAAGACTTTTCATTGAACTAAGCAAATGGAAACTTCAAAGTTTTTTCTTTTGCTTGTTAATTCGCCTTTTTTTTCCATTTAAATATAATAAAAAACTTCGAAAACTTCATTTAAATATAAAAGAAACTTCGTTCGATTCAAACTTGAAATGGAAGAAGGTTGATAAATTTCGAAAGCCTGAAAAGATGACTCTCCTCTCTAACCCCTTAACGATCGGTTAATTTTCAAGAAAACGTATTTGATTAGTGCTGGCATCTAATTTAAAATAAACTAAGTATCTACAATTAGCATAAAAATATCCTGGTACTGCCATCTGGCTCAAATGAATCAATTGTAGCCTACACCGATCGCCCGTAATGGAATCGCAAGGTTGTAGCAGCTCATAGTATACAACTCCATTCACCATTCTTGAAACGTCGAAATCTTCCCTACATGATTTATCAGATGGAGCATTGTCACCATAAACTTTTACAAGCATTCAATGCGCTTCAGCTGCACTTTTCTTCCAATTAAAGTAGAAACATAAAACCTCTCGCAAATGCTGCTTCGTTACCACAAAACTTGACATATTTAACGAAGAAAAAAACATGGTTTTTGTATGAAACACAAGGCCATATAAACTGAATATTATTGACAGATGCTTAACCTCTCTGAAACCACCTGTCACTATGAAACATTCATAACAGCCAGAGCCATCTCTTGAAAACGGACCGAACTAATTTGTAATCCCAATACGTTGATACAATACAAAACAAATAAACATTCAACAATTGTAATACACACGCATGATCATGCACAAGACTTGTTGGAGTCTGAAGATATGAAATTGCCACAGAACAATTCAGGTCAACTGCCACAAGAAATGATAAACTGCATTATTTCAAGTATGAAATCATGCTGCAAGGCCTGTATATCTGTAACAGGAGACCATTCCCTCTATTAATACGTTCTTTTGGATCATTCTGCAACCGCTGTTTCATAGCTTCTAACTCCAACGAGTGTTACCCACGATCACGAGTGTGTATTACAATTGTTGAATGTTTATTTGTTTTGTATTGTATCAATGTATGTACGCATCAAATTCCATTAAAATCGGTCCAGTAGTCCTAGAGATGATCGACCAAATCAGAAAATTCTCTAAATTTCTTACAACAACAAAATTAACCAGACTCCACAGTATAGACACACAGATTGTATTTATTTTAATATTATGTAACAGCCACGTCGAAAAACAATTAATCGATTTCATCATGTACATAGCAAAATCGATAAGAAAGTATAAACAATACAATTTTTTTTATATACTCAACTGATTTTGACAAAAAAGAATTCCTGAAAAAATGCAAATATAAAAATATCTATACACATGGCAACACATTTTCACACATGTATGTTGATTATATATACTACATCCCTGTCTTGAAATGGAGGAAAAGAGTTATGAACAATAGGGGGATCGTTTGGAAGGGGGCCCACGAGGCTGGCCATACTCCGATGGGCATAGTCATCGGTCGGGTCTAAATACATGATCACCGGATCTAATTCGACACGGGTCCTGACTTTGGGATCTGTACGACACTTCATACACAGCACACCACCTTGGATTCTTCGACCGTTGGCCTACATGAAATGAAAAAACAAATACTAAATCACATGCTCAGTGAAAACATTATTTAATGAATATAAAATTTTGACTAAACTGTATTTAATTCTTTTTTTCGAATTAATTTTAATTTCTTTTAAACACAGTTGGACTTCTATTTAGTGAACTTCCATTTTTCAATTTTTTTCGAGGAAATTTTAGAAATTTCTTAGGAAAATAACTTACAAATTGTGGAGAATTGAAATGAATTTTCTATTTAACGAATTTTTCTTTGAGATCCACTTTCTCTATTTCCCAAAATATTTCAAACTTGTTAACGTATTGTATGAGAGAAATGACCTTGAATTGAGTTTCAAAGTCACTTAACTTTTAGAGAAAGCAGTAAAATTCCTTTCCCTCTTTGTTTGCATTTTAAACGAAAAATTCAGACAAAATTAACGGATTTTATCAGCAGCAATTGCACTTTACACACGCGGAAATGTATGTTTAAAATTACTTTTACAATAAATGCAGCTATTATTTTATACATAAATTTAGCTTTTTCTTGTTGAAAATGTATATAGCATGATAGCGTAACACTGGATAATGTTTTGCTCTATTCTTGCTTTCCATGCAGATTTCTTTTATGGTTAAGATATTATAGTCGATGCTAGTTTACAAGATAAAGGTGTAACAATTGCTATTTTAATTATGTCGAATTTAAAATCAGTTTTGTGTTGTTTAAGTATTTCAAAAAGTAATTTTCTATTTAACGAATTTTCCATACAACGAACTTATTATCAGGATTTAGCGAGTTCTTTAAATAGAGAACGAAGTTAACTGTTAACCGAGCTTAGAGCAAAAACGAAAATATTTTACTCAAAATTGTTATAAATCTAAACAAATATTGGTTTTCATGTGTATCTTTTCCATCCTCTACAAACAAGGCCTAATAGAACCAGTTAAACCTCTTTCAAGCCCTCAAATAAATAATTCTAGTTGAACATTCAATTAATTTGTGTTTACTGAAGTATAATTTAGACATGAACAATCTCCCCCATGACAGAATCGCAATGCCGTGGCGATATTGTCAAAGAACTTTACAGAATTCTTGCAGAAAGATATTTCTTTTGAAAAGTAAAAAACTTTAGTTTTTTACCAATACCAAAAGTTTTCTCTTCCCAAAATAAAAATCTTTCTGCAAGAACTCTGCAAAATTCTTCGACAATGTCGTCGTGATTCTGCTACGAGGATCATCTTCATGCATTTAATGATTCAGAATTCAAGTTATTTATACTCAAAGATATTTTCTTTATCCAACAGCATGAATAACAAAAAGAAAAAAAAATTAATATTAATAGTTTAAAAAAAAATTACAATAAGTATTTTCAATCCCAATAAGAATTTCTAGGAGAGAAACTCAAATCTGTGTTTAAACACCTATTGAACTCTGTGTACATTAAGATCTGGACATTTTAATAGATTAAGACATATTGCGGAATTCAAAATAATTAGGAAAATTTTTAAACTGTAACCCTAACTTTAAATTTAACAATCACACAAATGTAATACATATTACTATAAATGACGCAAATAAAAATTGGGCTATAAATATACATTATAAATACAGACCAAATACTGGGCCTGAATGTTCACTGCATTTCTACATAAAAGAATTTCTCACCAAAGTCATTTGCCTGCGATACAGAGCCAGAACTGTATGAGGAGTAAACATTTCATTGCAAACAACACATTTAGCTGCCTGTCCAGGTTCAGCTATCTGTTTTGAAAGAACCGGATATTCAAATTTCTCCTAAAAACAGAAAAAAAATGGCTACTTTAATGCAATGCACGTGAAAGTTTTTTTTTTATAAACTTGAAGAATTATAAAATTTAAAATTTATGCTTCCTCACAAACTGAATATATTCAGGGTATCTGCTACATTTTACATTTTCAAATTCATGACTTTTCACGACTTTCCATGACTAATTCCAAGACTTTTTCATGATTTAACGTTACTGTGTTCTCCGACAATAACACAATAAATTTTTTAAAAAAAAGCATTATAATAACATTAGTTGAAATGATAGGTATAACCAAAACTGTTATACTCTGCATCTTCATATTTATAGATTTTAAATTAAAAAAATAGAGTAAAGAAAGAGTTGAAGCAATAAAATAGCTGAAAAAAAAATACAAAAGCCAATGATTTTTTCCCCTGCAGAATCACATTCTAAAGATTCTTTTCTTGTTCATCAGAAAAGAAAGAAACACTCCTGATTTTTCTGTTCTCATTTTGGAATTAAAAAAAAAAATTACTAATGACTAGCTTGGTTCAGCTAAAATTTTAAATTGATAAAATAAAAAATAAATAATAACAAAAATTCTGAAATCACAGAAGTTTAAAAGATAATTTGCTCTAGAAATGATGTTTTTTCTTTCATTTTATATTTTAATAAAATAAGACTGTGAGTGGGGATTTTGTTACAAATTTAGATATTAGGAATACCATGAAATTGGGGGGAGGTGGGGGATAATTCCATTTTAAAAATTAGGTTTTTAGGAAACCACTAGACTTTCCATGATTTTTTTAAAAAAAATATTTAAAATCATGACAAATTCTGTTCAATCTTGAAATTCATAACTTTCCATGATTCTTCTCTAGAAATGATGTTTTTTCTTTTATTTTATATTTTAATAAAATAAAACTGTGAGTTGGGATTTTGTTACAAATTTAGATATTAGGGACACCATGAAATTTGGAGGAGGTGGGGGATAATTCCATTTTAAAAATTAGATTTTTCGGTGACCACTTGACTTTCCATGATTTTTTTTAAAAAAAAATATAGTTAAAATCATAACAAATTTTGTTCAATCTTGAAATTCATAACTTTCCATGATTCTTCATGATTTTCCAGGTGCGCAGATACCCTGTATATTGCTTAAAATATAAATTTCATTTATCTATCAAACAATATTTTCTGTAACATAAATCCATTCTTTTTCTAAATTAGATTAATTAAAGTAGACTTTCTTTAGCTCGAAAGTGGATAGTTCAAAATATTGAATAATTCAAAGTAACAACAATTCCTCTAGAAATCCTTAATCATAGTAATGTTAAAATTTGATCTTGTAATTTATAGTGTTCCTTTCAATTTAAGGATGATATGACATTTAAACATTAAATGAAACTGATTTAAAAATAAATAAATATTATATTGAATAAAATATTATAGAATGTTAGAAAAAAGAACACAATTGAAATGATTTTTCTAATATAGAATAAAATTGACTAAAAATAACACTTCTCCTTTAATTTAAAGACAAATTTTCTGTCAGCAGCATTATAAGTATTGTAGAATGAGAGCAAAATGCATGAAATATTTATTTTAGCTAATAAAATTAGTTAGAAAGAAACTTTTGTCACAATAAAATTTGTCTACATTGTAATAAGTAGTTTAATATTTAAAAAAAAATAAATTAATGTATTATTGCTTTAAAAAATAATTTTTCAAAAAATGGTTAGAGAAAATACTTAATAAATGTATTAACTTACATTTCCAGAGAGGAAAACTCGAAAAAACCTTTCTGGTAAAAACAAAGATGTTTTTGCACGCGTCAAAGCAACATATATAACATTGTATTCTTCTTCTTCTGTTCCTGCAATAGAAATGATAACTAATTAAGCAGCTATTTGAAAGGAATTATTTATTCTCAATTTGTAGGGTCAATTGTAATTCTCAATTGTCAAAAAATATAGGGGTCGAGTTTCAATCTCATTTAGAGCTGCGACCTTACAACCGGGATAGCATGGTTGGTAAGGCGTTGGTCTAACGTCCAACAGGTCATGAGTTCGATACCCACCAGTCAAAGACTCCCCGTGTACAAAACGGTGATAAGTGCATGCAAATACATTGGCGTCACAGAGTCCTCAAAGTTCAGTTTAATTGCTTTGTAAGCATACATTATAGAAACAAAGCTGTGTAAATTCAACTGTTATTCCCTTTCATCCTCGGAATCCAAAGAAATTACATCGGCTAATTCCTTTTGCAAACTTTTTATTTCCGTAACAATACCAGAGTTTGTAACAAGTTCGTCATCATCCAATCAAACACAGTCTTTAAAAGAAATTGATTCTGGAAACAAATAGTGAATTAGGGCAACAGCAAAAAAGATCAGATCAAGGTGGTAATTTCTCAGAAAAACATGCTTCTTCATATTCACATCCAGAAAAAGAAAGAAAATTCGATTATAATATCTATTTATTATAGCAGAAAAGAGTTTATCTGGTTTCCTGTAATGCCCTCCCCTTTCAACAGCTTTTTAACCCCATGACATATCCTTTTTTGATATAGAAATGATCTTTGATTGAGCTGCAAACAACAACTTGCAACAGAATGTTGACAGAGATGTCAACTGCTCTGGACACACCAAAATAATTTAAAAAAACGGTAAATAACTACAAACTAAATTTTGCAAATATTTGACTATTTTTGCTTGCATTTTAAAAGGTATAGCATGACATAACTACTATAAAGTGGCGAATTATATAAGCCTAAGAATTCTTTAGAAATAAATTGAATTTATTTAATTAAGAATCATAATTAATAAACTACCACTTTAAAATATTTATACGCTGTCCGGAGCAGAGTTGGCATCTCTGTGTTGAAGACATCTCAGAAACAAATAAGAACAAATGACTCATAAGAAACAAATGACATCTCCCAGACGTCTTCGCATGTCAAGGGTTTAATCCATACAAATCTTTCCTTTGATTGCTCAGGGTTGCCACTCAAATAGCTGTATTAGGCTAACTATACTAGTTATAATTGCTGGCTGGAAAAACTTAGAGAAATAAGAAACAGTTTAGCGAACTTAAAAAAAAATAGTGCTATAGTAAATGAACCATTTTTAATATAGCTGAAATATCATCCTTAAATATCCCATAGATTGCTCTTTGAGTGGTTATAACTTTTTAAAAGATGAAAATAAAAAACAAAATTCCCTGCATTTTCCCAGTATCTAAAGAAAAACTCATAATTCCCCGCATTTTCCCTGTTATTTCAGGCGATTTTTAAATTCCCTGTATTTTCTCTATTCTCCCTGTGAAGTGGCAACCCTGTTGCTGCAAACGTAAAATTATCAACACTACAACAAAGCATTCACTTCTACTCTTATAGAGCTGTGAATGTTCAATTTTTTTACCTGTCAGAAGGGGAAATAAATTTTCTAATCACATTAAAAGTACTTTAAAGCATTATTTTTTGCATACAACTTGACGGGAAATCAAAAGCTAGTTTGCGTTAAAAGAAATTCACCATAATCAGGTTTAACTGCATGTATATTTTATCAATTTCTACATTTTTCTTCTAGGTAGGTACTTTATTTATGTCAAACTAGAGCTGGACACTGTGCTATTGCCGATGGTCTGGGAAACACCCCCGAAGACATGCCATCGCAATTTCGATCCTCTGCATGAAGAATGGCCCCCCTGCTTTGGTAGCCTGACAACCTGTGCGCGAAGTCAAACACTTTACGGTACAACAGTTTAAAAGAGAATCGATACCGAGCACCCTCTGTCCCTATGCAGGCTGATCAAAGTGGTCACCCATCCGCTTACTGACAGTAGCCAGTGATGTTTGACCTCGGTGTTGACTGGGGACTGTGTCTTTACGATCAGTCCACGGCAGGACTTTTTCTACTAGGAAAGTGTGAATTTCTGGCCCAACTCAACAAGCTGCATGTTTATTTTAATGAGATGTTTTTATCTGAGAATTTGGCATTTCATTTATAAAAGACTATTTTTGATTAAAAAATTTTTAGGTATTTCTTAAGGTTCTAATAATAGATTTTGAAATAAAATTTTTACCGATTAAAAATCTAGAAGAGCAAGATGTGATATATATTTAAACTAATTATAACAGCAAAACAAAAACTACTATATTGCAGAATAAAAAAAAATTCAAACAAAAGAATAAAACAGTCTATAAAATATCTTTGTAAGCATTAAGATTAAATCAATAAATTGTAAATAAAATTTTTTTTTGTAAAGAAATGAATGAATACAAACCTGAACTTATTGAACCTCTCCTTCTAAGGTTACCCCAATTCGTCACAGGATAATCATCTGTTAAACTAACTGTATCGAATTCCAAGCCTTTTGATTTGTGTGCAGTTGAAAACACAACATCTAATTAAACACAAACAATCTTATTAACCCCATGACAATGACAATATTTCAGAAAAATGGAAATTTTTTTGACTGCTTAATTTTGTTCTTTATATTATTATAAAAGTTAGAAAATTGTTTTTTTTTTACAAAAATAAAATTTTAATTGCAAAAACTACTGCATTTATAATTTTTACATACAGATAAAAAAGTAATGGATTACACACACATCTTATTCAATTACAGCAAATTAAACAAAATTTTGAAGCTTAATAAAACTAGTATAATATAATATAAAAACACAACAATATGATTTTCAATACATGAATTTTATAAATCTTTCCCCTCCCTCGACCCACATTTCCCACCAACATTTTCTGTCCCTTGACCGAAGTCGTAATCGGTGAAAAACTAGGACCATTAATGCCATCTATTATGAAAATAGTGAATTAAGTATCCTTAAGTAGAAACAAGTAACTTCAGGCTTCACAAAATAGAAACGTTAATTTTTCTCCTGCCTGAAGTCAGTTCGGGCATCACTGGCAAGGAGTTAAATTATAATTAAAATATCAAATAAAAAACTTGTTTCTCCATACATATACTGATGGAGAAAAAATCCCAATACGAAGAGAAAATTATTGTACAGTTATGAAATTTAGGTAATACGCTTGTCTGAGTAACATATTTTATTGATTAAAGTTTCAAGATCACAGGCTAAAGCAATCAGTGTTTTCACTACAGCGCAAGAACCTCGCTTATTTTTTCTTTTCTTGCATTAAAAAATTATTAACGCGAGAAGATCGCACACTCTATTAATAAATTTCAAAATGCGCAAATTTTGGAAAAAAATTCGTTTTCTGCCATTTTGAATAAAATCCCTTTCACTTTTCTTCCTTGATCTTTCATTATTTTCAACATCGATCCCTGTTATCTAGCTTCCCTATTTACCAGTATGTTTCAGAACTGGTGCGAACATCAGAACACAATGCCCCCCCTCCCCGAATGACACGGAACACCTTTCAGAACACATTTCTCTGCAACCAAGTGTTCACCGAAGGTAAGATTTATTCATGTAAGACATTTAAATTTTTTTCAATGCTACAAATTTATTTAGTGATTCCGAATTATTCAGCATCTGTTGCAAGGTCATTTAGCACTCAAAACCGAATTAAGACAAAATATTGTATACAAATGACTGATAAACATTTGAGCAGCCTAACGAGAAAAGCTGATGAAAAAGTAGATATAGAACGTTTTTCATATGATGATGCAGCATAAATATTCAAGGCTTTAAAAATTAGAAGATGTTAAAAATGTATTATAATTAAAGAAATATTTTTTTCCAAGTCTATTCGCATTTTTTTAATTTTTAGAAATCTCACTTAACTTTTTGAGACCTCACCCTGTTTTTGAGAAAGGATGAGAAATTCTCTCTCATTTTTTTTCTGTAATGAAAACACTGATATAGAATGTTTTCCATATGATGATGCAGCAAAACTATTCAATGCTTTAAAAATTAGAAGATGTTAAAAATGCATTATAATTAAAGAAATATTTTCCTATTCACGTTTTTTTAATTTTTAGAAATCTCACTTAACTTTTTAAGATCTCACCCTATTTTTGAGAAAGGGTGAGAAATTCTCTCTCATTTTTTTCCTTAATGAAAACACTGAAGCAATATAGAGAAAACTCATTTCAATTTTGAAATACTGGTACATTAATAACCAGCGTGACCAACAGAATTTTGGATGCAAACAGGTATCATACAGGTCATTTTGTGAGACAGAATTCAGTGTAGGGTATCCGCTACATTTCAGATCTTCTTCAAATTCATGACAATTTCTAAGCATTTTTCATGACTCAACAAAGTTACCATTTTCTCCGATAAAAACGCAACAATAAACTTAAAAAAGTAATTTACAACAACAATTAATTTGCGTTCGTGTATCAATTGGTTAACATTGTACTGCAATACGTTAAAAATAAATACAAATAGGAAGTATATAAAGATTCTCCTGAATAAAAACCTTTGACAAGTATGCCTAAATATAAAAGTATAGCATATAAACTCGTGCAAAACACATCATTATTAAAAAAAACTACAGTACATCTAATAATTTGGTCTAATTATTATAATATACAAATATAAAACCTGTTATAATAAATATTCTATATTTTTATTATATATCATCTAATTTATCCAATAGTCAAATTTATATTATACATCATCTAATTTAACCAATTGATAGACGAGCGTAAACAAGTACAAACCGGTTTCAGCCGCGTAAAAACAATAAAGTTGTATAGTATCACCTGATAATTAAGATTTTACATAGAATCTTATAGTGCGTCTAATAATTTGGTCGCGGACTGTACATATATATATATATTGATTACAACATTAAATGTGATTTACTTTACACCATTTGTGTTTTCACATAAATGGATATCATAAGATTGATTAATAAAATTATACTTACTAGCCAACTGTAGTGGATGAGTGCATTTTTCTTTAATAGTTTTGATGTATTGTGGAATATCATTGGAATGCAACCTGATGAGTTCAACTTTTGATAACAAGTCAGAATCATCTGCATTTTTAGCATAATTGGTCAACTCTTCATAAGTTTTAAATTTTGAAATGAACTTGTCTTTAATTACATAACCTGTAGAAAAAAACATACGTTATTATACTATAGTAAAATAAAACAAAATTCACTTTCTTCATGATGAGGAAATTTCTAAGAAAAAAATTTCTATTTACAGTTTAAATAAAAAAAATATCAAAACTAGCCTATTTATTATGGAAAATGCTTCATAATCAATTTTAAATATGCACACAAAAACAAAATTAGCACATTGCAAACTTCTTTATTAGAAATACATGCATTTTTAGTGGCCACATTGAATAATTTCACCATAAAAAAAAAAAAAAAAAGCCATTCTACATATTAACCAATATTAGTCAGTAAATAGAGAAAAGAGATTAAGATTTAAAATTCTCTTTTTCCTAGAAAAAGCCAGAATTTTAATAATAAAAAAAAGAATGAACTTCCCCACTGATTTTTGTAATTTCAATAAAAGTAGTTTTAAATGTAAGTAAAGCAGTTCTAAGTTTCATAATAGATTATAAATAATAGATAATACATAATAGATTTTAAATGATTTTTGTCTTTTAAAAATAAATGTTTGCATTAAGAACATATTTTTTTGGAAGCATTAAATGTAAAGTGTATTTTCATAAATACTTTGCAAAATATTAACTCTAATTTAAGAAAAAAACTAGTTAAGACACTAATTGCATAATGCATCATTTAACGGTCGTAGATTGTTATAAAATTTGAGAGCAACTTCGTCCATATATTATTAGTAGAGGAAAAAAATAAATGTGAGAAAAACAACAGCCCAAATTAGAGTATCAGTTGTCATTTTTAACACTTTTTAAATCTCTAAAAACTCCTACAATAAGTTTAATTAAAAATTTTTTTAAATATTATACAGGGTGCATAGCCAAATCTCTCAAAAAATATTTTTAAGCAGTATATACATTAACAAAATGCAAAATATTTTTCTAAGACTTTAGATGATCATAATAAAATAACTAGTTTCTGATAAAGAACTCTTTTTTTGATTATATTAGTCACCATAAAAAGATCAAGAGATTTTCAGTTCGATTTCTGGGGGTGGAAAATGAAGTTTGAAATTGAGAATATTGTGCAAAATGCAGCGGAGTTGCACATGAGAGAGCGAGAATCTCTTCGAACCCAGCTCAGTAGACGCACATGCGGACTCCCAAGTATTTCATCAAGCATGTAACATGATTGGGGTGCTATTAAACGTTACAGACGCCAGAATGGATAGTGGTTGAATGAATTGTGAAAACATTGAATAGAACAATAAGATCACCTAGCTTTTGCATAGTACGCAGCGAAAATTGACATGGTAAAGAAATATCACATTTTTGAAAAGGGAAAATTAAGTATGTTTTAAAAACACCTCATGAAAAACGCACCTTAAGGCTTTTAAAAACGAAAATCGAAAATAAGGACCTTTAAGCACTTCTTAAAAACGCTACGCATCATGTTATAAACAGCACAAACTAATTAATATTTTTAAGTAAAGAAAGGTTTTATTCATATTGATAAATTGTAAAATAGACAAGAGAAACATTATACAGACCTGGTTCATTATAATAGTTGGCAAGCTTGCAAATGTCCAGCAGCTGTTGAAAGCCATAGCCTTCAATACCCTGTAAGAAATAATATATTCATTACTAAAAAATTATTGTACTGAAAATGAAGAAAACATCAATTGTTGGAGGAAAAAAATGACAGAAACAATTTTGAACAACAATCAGTTCCCATAATTTCTTACATGATACCACAGCTTTTGCAAACAAATTACCCCTGTATAATTAAGACAACAGTATGTGAAACAAAAATGTCAAGTCTTGTTCCAGATTCACAATTTTAATTGCATTTTTTTAGTGTAAATAATTTTAATCAAATGAATATAAAGACATAAAAGTTTAGAACAGTTTCTAAACATTGAAGCTCAGATAACAATCATGAAAAAAAAGTAAACTTATGATGCTGCTTGGAAAAATTACAAGCCATTTTAAATACAGGGAATTTCTAAGTTCCAGTGTACTTGATGGTACAAAGAAAGTGCTTAATAACTATTATCACAAAGTATAATTTTACATTAATTGGTAATTTTTAAAATACTTTTTTTAGTATTGGTAATTACTAATTATAAATATAAAAAAATCTTAGTGCAAGCCTTTTTTTTTTCAACAGAGATTGTTAAATACAAATTAAATACTTACATCAATTAAAGCAGCATTTATAGTCAATGGCTCATATATTCTAATATGATTTTGATGGTACAATCGCTGTGTAATTACAAATAAAAAACCTTTCAAACATTTTCACTCAAGATTAAATATTAAAATGCAATTTTAATACTTATGCCAATAAAAGCAGTGTTTGTAGTTAAAGCAGGATTTGCATATTTATAATTTATTACATCCTGCATACTCCAAAATGCTTTTGGTAATTCAAATTAATGTAATTACAAATAAAAAACCTAAAACCATTTTATATAAAAGCAGTATTTGTAATCAAAGGCTCGTATTCCCTAATATGCTTTCGGTAATTCAAACTAATGTAATTACAAATAAAAAAACCTGAAACCATTTTAAATCAGAAGCTGTCAAATACAATTTAATTATTTCACTATTTAAATACTTACACCAACAAAAGCAGCATTTATTGTTGAAGGCTCGTGTTCCCTGATGCGTTTTTGGCAACACAGTCTTACAGCTTCATTGAAAAGCATAACATTTGATCGAGCAATAATGGCATATTGCCCTACAGCTTGAGAATTCACATAGGCTAAAACACAAAAAATAAATTTTTACACTATACTATTATACACATTTAATTTTATGCTTAGTTAAATATCAATACTTTTAAAACTTATTTACTTTCTAATTTTGCATATGAACAATAAAGAAAGATTTTTTTCCGGTTAAGAGTAATTTAGAATAATAGATTTTTTTCATGTTTCCTGATTAAAATTAATTTATTCTTTATTTAATATTGAACTGACAATTTTGACTTTGCTTTACAAATTCAGGAGAGTGTTTGGTGTTAAGCTTGAACAATAATAATTATGATTTTAGTTAATAAGTGATTAGTTTATAAAAATATACAAAATAACTAAAAAAACTCATTAAAAAGAGTCTTACAAGGCTTTTCATTTCCAACCAGTGTATTTGTAGTTACATGTTTCAGGCTTTCCAGACAAGAGGATGCAATGTAGGCTATTTCTGGTCCGAATCGAAATGACTGAAAAATACAAACAATTAATTGAATATAAAAACTGCGGAAATTATGAATTTTAACACATTTGAATAGACTGTGAACAAATTTAAATCAAATAATTAAAATCAATAAAAAAGATAACTGTTCTTCGTAAATTATTGTTGAAATAAATTTATTAACTAAATAACCAGCAATAAATTAAAAATGTAAGCATAAATAATTTATAAATGAGGGTTTATTTAATTTATTTCATGTTTTTTTAAAGCAATTAAGAGACCTTAAATGTTTCTAATTTTAAAAAATTAAAAAAAAAATAAATTATAGTCACTAAGTAGTGTAACTCAATTTGCAAGAGATTATTGAAGTACAAAAAGTTTCACATGAAAAACTTGATCTAAGTTAAGATTTAATTTAAATGAACTTTTCTTTTTAATTTAGTATTATCAATTCACACTCAATAAAGATACAAATTTAATGCACGGTTTTTAAAAACAGATGAATATTTTTTCAAGTGTATTTAACACTATAGTTATTTATAAATGTATTGTTCAACAGACAGACAATTCTCAAATTCTGCATATTCAAGTTGATGTCAAGACTACAAAAAAAAAAAAAAAAAAAAAAAAAAAAAAAAATGTTAAATACTTATACACACAAATAAATTCTGAATACCTGAAAAAACTACTTAATTGTTAAATAAGCCAATCACTTTAAACTAGTAAAAAAAAAAAACAATTTTTTTTATTCTTAACTTTTCACTAGAGTAATAATCATGAGTTATTTTGAAAAGAAAGAAGCGTACCTTGGTTAGATGATAAGTATGGGTGGCTTTAATACTTTGTAAGGCATTTTTAGCACCACGAAACCCATAGATTTGTTGATTAGGATCCCCAACTAATATCACAGGCAGTTTTTGGGAAAGAACAACAGATATCATGGCTAGAGGAGAAATAAAATAACGGATTTTTGAACATTACACTACAATTTTTGTGTACAACATTGAAAATGCAATAGCAAAATGAATTTTCGCATGTAATAAAAAAAGTAACAAAATGTAGAAGAAACTTTGTTGGTGTAAGATTGAACAGAACAGAAGTTAGAGATTGAACTCAATTAAACATGAGCTTTAACAGGATAGCTGTAAACTCTAACAAAAAAAATAAATTATGACTTTTCGGATTTTCCCAGACGGATATTATCAAATTACCCTGATTTATGGAACTACCCTAGCAACAATTTCACCATGGCCCCAGAAGGGATCAAAATTGGCTCAATATGGGCCCTATCTTAATAAGTAGCATAAGACCAATACTGGGATGTTCTTTTTAATTTTTTTTTTAAATATTGACCCCATAGGGCCGGGATAGCCTGGTTGGTAGCGCACTGGGGCCATGCCCAAGAGGTTCTTGGTTTGATCCCCGCCGGCCGAAGACTCCCCGTGCAGTAAATGGTGATTGGTGCTTGTTAAATCTGTTGAGTCACAAAGTCCTCCATGTTCCCACAACAAATCATACCCCTGGGGGTACTGATGCAGGAGCTTCCTCGTCTTCTGGTTTGGTTGAAAACTACAAGGCTACGGAGGTGAACATTAGTCGTAAACCCGAAATTGGGTCGGCTGTTCAACGATATTTATAAAATAAAATATTGACCCTATATAGGTTTAATATCGGTCTTTATGGGGCATATATTGGCTGAATAATGAATATAAAATATCGAGTGAATCTGTTAATTCTAGATATAGCCAATATCTGAAAATAATGGCCCTTTGAACCCTTACGGAGTCAAGATTCGTGAATATTGGCCTGATGAGGGCTTAAGTTAATTCGCTGCTTGGGTAGTTGCATAAATTTTATAGTTATGCCTTATTCTTTTCTAGTAGCAAAATAACTTGGGCCCTCATTGGGCCAATATTCACGAATCTAGGTTCAATAAGGGTTTAAAGGGCCGATATTTTTCCGATATGGGCCCTATATAGAATTAGTCTGATTCACCCAATATTTTATAATCATTATTCAGCCAATATAAGCCCTATATTGACAATGCATAGGACTAATATGAGCCATAGGACCCATACAGGACCTATAGTGAGCCCATCTGGGGCCAAGGTATAATTGTTGCTAGGGTTGTATTTGAAGCATAGTAAAAACACTTATCTTTGCCGTTAACATTGAAACTAAAAAATTTTTTCAAAAAAAGTTCATTTTTTCCCTATTAAATTATCCCACTCTTACATTTTATCTCCTGACTTTTCTGTGGTTTGTGAATCTAAGTAAGGCCCAGTAATCAAACCCCTTTGAGGGCTAGACCAATCCTGCACAGAATATATTATTTAATGGCAGCATAGCAGAAAAATTTTAATACAATTTTGCAAGAGGGATCAATCCCTGGATATCACACACACAACTTATAAATCCGAAGAGAGTTTCCTTTATAGCTCAAACTCAGAACAATTACTCATTTAAAAGGACTGAATCTTGAAGATTGGTCTGTTTCCACATCTGTTGATAAACTTATATTTTCATTTCTTGAATTTTCAGTTTTTTTCTAATTTTATTTTTTAAAGAAATTTTCAATTAATTTTTGTAATAGAGTAATTGCCCTGCATAAATATTATTTTGTTCAGCAGTTTTTGTTTTTTCAAAAAAATAAAATATGCAGGGCTTAATCCAGGTTTTCAATCCTAGTACCTATTTTTGTGAAATTTTTTTTTATTTTTGTGAAAATTAAGTGAATTATTTTGTGAAAATTAAGAACTGTGATGGTTTTTTTCAGACGGCGACTGTTGTGACGGTTTCTCCTCAGTTTTTTCAGACTGAAAAAATGTTTTAATTGATTTCGTTCCTATACTATCGATCGTGCGTAAACGCTTCATATAATAATCGCTATTCCGTGAGCCACCCGCTCCACTTAAATTTCTTCCTTGCTTCATTATAAAAACTTTTCATAAATCTTGTTAAAAAATACGAATAGAACACATTTTACACTAAATCATAAAAAAAAACACTTGTCGTATGGGAAAATGAGTTGAGTTGTTTACGCGCTGGCTCAATTTAGCCGGTTGCCTAGTATAAAAACTTCATCACTCACTCCGATTGAATGGCGTATTTAGGAGAAGTGACGTCAGCATACGAAGCCTGTTTTCGAGCTAGTGCGGTTGCGCGGAACGCCGTCCGATGGCGTACCGTACGGCGTTCACTGTGAATCCACTTTTCCGTTAACCGCTCGGAAAACTATTCAGCACTTTAATTCCTTCTAACTTTCTTTTTTATCTTCGTGAAGATGCGTTTTTTTTCAAAGTTTGTTGAAATACTGATTTTTTTTTTTTTTGGTGANTTTTTTTTTTTAATTTTGTGAAGGTACCGAAAAACGGTACCAAAATCGCCCTGGATTAAGCCCTGATATGTGTCTAATAGTTTTACATATCCTAAACATAAAGATCATATCCTGAAAATTTTAATAAAATCAAAAATGTCAAGAATCCAAATCTTCTTCACTCTTGAAAAAAACTGGCTTTAATAAAATCTAAACATGTCTTTAAGTGTAAAGCTTTTAATCTTTCATTATAAACAAGATTCATAATAGTAAGCAGAGGATGTCTCGATCATTTTTTTGTAGATTAAGTAATTTGTCTGATTATAATAGCATAAGCAGAGCTGAATAAAATCAAAAGCTTTCTAGTCATTGATAGTACATTGCAGTGTAGCCATTGTAGTATTACTAATATTCAAACAAAAACTGCTGAACAAACAATATTACAATGACTACACTATAATGTACTGAAAGTATTTATGTCTTAATAGTCAGTGTAAAAGGAGTAGAACATAAAATAACGGTCATTGCCCTGATTCACTCATTTCCCCAAAAGTATTTAGGGATCTGTTTAGAATAAATTTGGGTCCGTTAATGGACCCTTCACAAAATAATTTATTTTTTAATCGGACCCTTCACAAATTTGTTTATCTTCATTTTCTACATTTACACATTCTTGTTAATATTAAATCATATTTTTTTTGTAAATAAGTAATTGATCATTTTATATTTATTCATAAAATTAATTAATATAATATTAAGTAAATAAAAATTAATTTATGGCAACTTTTTAAAAAGAAATATTATAAATTGAAGAATTGTTTAAGTTTACTTAATGCATTACACATTAAAAGTGATACATTACTAAGTTGTGTTATTTAAAATATGTCAATAAAATATGTATGTTGCATCTCTAAATTAGTAGCAGTAATTGTTGAGCAGAATCTTGTATCTATTTACAATTTAAAATCTCCTTGAAAAGGCTTTCATCAACTTTAGCAATAACAGGACATTATTTGCACAAATTCACAAAAACAGGACCCTGGTTGAAAGAATGTGACTTAAAGCTCATTTTATATTCACAAATTACGAATAGTTTTTTCGCAATTTTACAAAAACCACAAAATGTCTGGACAGACTCCTGGTATTGCCACAAGCAAATTTATGTGTTTTCTCATAATTCTAGAAGATTCTCAGTTTGGCTCCCCTAAAATTTTGAGAAAATCTTTTTTTTCTTTTCCTTATGAAGATAAAAAAAAAAAAAAAAACATGCATCTTAAAAGTTTTACAAAAAGACCATGTCCAGAAAATTTTAACAAAATCCAAAATTTCAAGCATCCGACCTTGCCTGAATTACCTATTTTTTTTTATTAAAAAAACAAACAAACTGGTTTTTAATATTTTGTTAAACAATAAATCGCTTGAACACAGCAAAACAATGCAAATAAAGCACAAATAAAGGCACAGAACATGGTTGTTTTGCTTTATTCATACATAAAACAAAATATAACCTATACTCATTTAAATAAATCTGTTATTTTAAGCTTTTCATGAATTCTATAAATAACTGTGTTTCATCAACATACACAATTAAAATATTTAGAAAAAATAAACATTCATAATTTTAAAGCAATTGTGGGAATTACCATTTGCACTGTAATTAGTCTTCTTGATGATATAACATTTTATAACAGCCAAAAAATAAGAAATAATTTCTTGCAATATTATGAAAACCGTGTACCTGGATTGCAATCTTGTGCTTCATCCACCATGATGCACTGATACTGGGAAAGGCTTGGTTTACTTAACTGATACAGTTTGAGGTAGACGTCATGCGTGATTCTAGCGGATTTTTCCTCTCGGTCAATCATCTTTGACCACACTAGCTTGGAATCCTTTAGCAACCTCTAAAAAAGTACAATACTTGGCTGTGAATCAATGTTTAGTCTTGATATCTCTAAGTACATACCTAATTGGTGTTTGTCTATTTGATAAACTCTCAGTAGATTTATGGCTTTTATGGGAGTTTCAGAGTTGCCACAGAAAAAAAAAGAACTATGTAGTAGCCTTCAGTACCCTAAGGCATGAAAATAGTTGTCGAAAACTATGAAAATAGCTGCCTAAATAAGAACATAAATTTGACTAAAATTTTATAAATGACTTAATTGTCATATACCATGATCCAATTAGTCCAGTTGGTGGCAAATATGATAATTTTTATATAGACGTTAGTGTTCCAGCACTAAATTTTTATATAAAAAAAAAGTAGTATATTTGCAAAAATTAAATACTTTAAATACTAAAAAATTATTCAAAAAATATTTTTTCATTAAAAAAAACATAATTTTTCTAAAAAATTTTCAGTGTAAGCAATAATTGATTAAGCAAATATATAAATATTGTGAAAAGTGATTATTCAAATTCGAAATTCCCGCGTCGTAATATTGTATTAAAAATTGGGTTTTATAAAATCATACAGAATCTCAAAGTGATAACTGTTGAAAAGGCGATTGAGAAACAAAAGAGATTCACAACAGAATCTGTGCAAATTGAGTACATTAAAAAGCGATGACTCAAATGTGCAATTTAAAAATTTTTTCTCTCCATTTTTTAGGAAAAAAAATTCATTATGCTCGGAAACTACCATATGCTGCAGGTTGTCAACCCAATTTATTCTTTAAAAAAAAAAGAGAACATTGCTAGGAGCACAAAAAAGTCTCCTAATAGTCTCCTTTTCCTGAAAATAGCTGCTTTTTTAGCCTCTTCAGCCAAAAAAAGTTGGCACAGTTGTCTCAGATCGAAAATAGTTGCATATAATCGCCTGTTGCAACCTTGAAGTTTTGAACCAATGCACGATGAAGTTTTCCAATTAACATACTTGTTTTTGAAGAAATATTATTGACACCGATACAGTGCTTGAAATTAACAGTGGTCTCTTGGTTTCAGACCACTGAAATTTTGTTTCGGAAACCATTAAGTTAAATTACCATTAAAATGTTATGAAAATTTCACTGAATACGATGAAAATTGATTAAATTGTTGAGCTTGAAAAATTTTATTTAAAAACACACCATTTGAAAAAGCTTGTTAAATACATATTTTGAAGTACATATGATGTATGTCACAATATGCCGAATTTTTCTCATTTATATGAGTTACGTAGTGAGGCAGAGGGGCAAAAATTTAATATAATACTCCACTTTCTACTCTACCGAAACCTACCCTCAGAATACCCGAAGTGAAAACGGTAGACAGTATGTCATCAAGGAGAGTCGTCAACCGCGGAAGTTATATTTCCACTAGTGGTTTGTTAAGAATCCCAACACTGGAAAATATTTCGGATTTCACTTTTTAAACTACTACTAGTTTTGACATTAAGTCTAGTTTTTTTTATTTATTTTCTAGTGAAAGTAATGAAAAAAAAATTCAGATGATAGTTTTCAACTCGCATATTCATCAAGATTGTAAGTTCTAACCCTAAAAAAATTCGATAATCAGGACAAAATGCTATACATCAGGACATAATTTTTATCAAGAAAAGCAGGACAACTATGAACCCTGCCTAATGAACACGCCACTGTGAAAAATGAAATTATGTGGTTGTTTAGCTTCAAATTAATTTTAAAAAAAATTATACATGTCTGTGGGTAGTTACGGGTTTTACTTTTCAAGTATGCACTGCTCTGGGTTCTTTTTTCTTCTTCATTTTTTGATGCAATTGCCCAGAAGTCGTCAAAATTTAGAAATTATATTGATGCAGGTACAGATATGGAAATCTTCTCTAGTTGGAATTGCAGGCAAATTAGACTCTATAAAAACTGTGTAGCAGACTGACTCAATAAATTATACTACTAAGGGTACTGGCTATGAAAAACCAGTTTAACCAATGTTTTTTCCTGTATTTTTTTTAAAAAACAGCTGTCATTATGTATAAAAAATCAGCAATAACAAAAAGTATTCCATACCACTTTGTCTGCATCTGTAATACTCTTGGAATTTGAATCTTGCATTGGAATATGATCAAACGTTATCTCCTCATCTGCAGAGCAGACGAATGATTCCAGGGTGGAGAGGACAAGTTTGGCATAGGAAAAAACATGTAGTTTTGTACCTTCTTTGTGAGTTAATAAAGTCACCAAGTCATGTGGTTTGACTTTAGAGGTCAATTTGTATCTCAACCTGTAATAAAAAAATTAATTTAATTTAAAATACCAAAGACATATACATATCAGTATCTAGTACACAGGGGTGCCACTCTAAAAAAATTTCAAGACGGAACTTATTTTTCGACCAAATAATAACTATCTGGCGTTGTTTATCAAACTTTAAGAAATTAATAGCTCACAATTTGATTATTTTTTCTAATTTTTTTCTTCTTTATTTTATGTTCTTTTTACCAAACAAAACGAAAATAACAGCTAACCTTGTATATTTTTTTGCTACTATTATTGAACAACCTGAAACCATTCATATCTCTATTCTTCACTTCACCGTTACATATTTTTTGTTCTGGCACTATAATTNTGCGATTAACTGAGAAAAAACATTTCTAAATAAATGACTTCAAAATTAACACCATTTGCAGTAACAATATTGTTGAGTCTGAAGACAAATTTAATTAAAACCTATGTAAAAACTGAATGATTTGACATACAGCAGAAAACATTGCTTTTTATTTTTTTGATCAGGAGAGCCACCTGACATCAAACATAGTAACTATTTTGAAAGTTTTAGAAATAAAACTCTGGTTCCTAAAACAATGCGCAGCAAACTGTACATTTTCAGGGGTCTGTCCAGACATTTTGAGAAAGGTCCGTTTTTGTAAAATTGCGAAAAAATTACTTGTAATTAGTGAATATAAAATAAACATTAAGTCATATTCTTTCAACCAGGGTCCTGCTTTTGCGAATTTGTGCAAATAGGGTCCTGTTATTGCAAAAAAGGAGTTTTTAAATTGTAAAGAGATACAAGATTATGCTCAACACTGTAAAATTATAATTAAAAAAATTTAATTTTAAAAGATAAACAGCAATTACTGCTACTAAATAAGAGATGCAACATACAAATATTTGATATTTAGCCTATACTGCTGAAAGTTTCATTTCGGACAAATAAAAAAAGAAGAAGCGTCTGCCGAAGACAAAACTTAGTTCGTTTTCATCTGTCTTCCTCCTCCCCCTGGGAAGGATTTATTTGATTAACAATACAATAATGAAGCTAAACAAATTTGTGAAGGGTCCGATTAAAAGATAAATTATTTTGTGAAGGGTCCGTTAACGGACCCAAATTTCTTCGAAACAGACCCCTGATTTTTATCACCTACATTTTTCTTTCATTGATTTTTCAAATCATCATAATTTTTGGGACATTCAGTAGAAAAAATATTTGCAATTATTTTTTCTAATATTGCTTCATATTAGCAATGCTATTAGCAATTATTAATGATTGCTAATATTGCTTCATATTAGCAATGTACCAGATAGCAATTTAATCAGATATTGAATATTTGACAGGCCAAAGATTAATTATTTCGAGTTAATTCTAGTTATTTTATAATCAGACAGTTAATTTTTAGGAAATGTCAATGAACTTGTATAATTTTGATACTTGTGATCAAGTACTTCAAATACAAAGTTATAATCAGATGAACTATTTATATTTAATAAATTCATCTATGATATTTCTTTTTTTTTTTTTTTTAACCGAATATTTTCATAAAAAATTCAAAACATGCATGAGAAACTAGGTTTAAAATTTTATTTTAAATAGAAGAGTAAAATTTAACTTGTATACAGAAATAAAACAGAGATTAAATTCCCAATCATGAAATCTTGCTTTCTTTTATTAATTTAGTTTCTCTTATTTCTTTTCTTTTTCGTCATAAAATTTTTTAATTTAAGATCTGCCAGACATTTTAAGGAAAAGATTCATTAGTTATATGGTCATGATTAGCAGCTAAATTCTGATTAATAAAAGCATTTTTTTTATTTGTTCATTTGGATGTATATTTTACTAAACCTCTGAAACTATGTTAGGATATCCAAAGATAATTCAAGAAAAGAAATTTCTTTTTTTTTAAATTATAAAAACACTTATATACTAACAGTAGAGATGCTTTTGGTTTAGTACTTAAAATTTTTTTAAAGGAAGACTAATACAATGCATACAATTTAAACTACAAAAATTATTATTACATATTTAAAATAAAATTACTTTAGCAAGGTAGGGGTGCACAACCTTTTCGAGTGAAGGACTACTTGCACAGCAGATGGAATAATAAAGGGGCCGCACGTGTATTTAAACGTGTTAACAGGAAATAACAAAATTTTTCTGTAAACATATGAACTAATTTTTTTTAATAATATCTAGACCTAGTATAGTAGACCTTAGTAAACCTAGAATTTAAGAATAATATTTTCAGAAAATTAAATACTCTTAATTTTTAAAACTACTTTTAATTATTAAAATTCATTAAAGAATGAAAAAAGTGATACTTCAAAAAAAAAAAAAAAAAAAAAAAAAGAAAAAAAAAAANATGGACAAAGTAAATGTTTTTTTTTTGTCATATCACTTAGTACAAAAAAATCTTTTTAAAATAAATTCAAACTTTGAAAAAAAAGCTAATCTTTACAGAATGAAAGTATAACAAATAAACCAATAAATACATGTTTTATAGATTAATACAAATTCAAATGAAATATCCTAATTGAACAAAATTTATAGGAAAAGTCACTTGGATTTGAGATGAAATCTGCAAAAATAATGTGCGGCAAAAAAAAGTGATAACTTAAATTCAAAATTCACGTATCTCAATATCGTACTAAATGTTGCATGGTTTTTTTAAAAAAAACACGCAAAATTGTGAAGCAATAAAGTGGAAAAAGCGATCGAGAAACACAGATTTACAATAGAATATATGTAAATAGAGCTTGTCAAAAAGTGATGCAAATCAACAGTCGAAGGGCCACATGTGGCCTGCGGGTCGCAGGTTGTGCACTCCTGAATGAGTATCAAAAAAATATGTAGAATGGATACATTAATTCAGTGAGAAGTTATTACTTTTCACTGAATACATAAGAAAATACAAAATAAATATGCTTACCTAAGTCCTTCAGTTGCATACGCTAAAGAATGGGCTGTTTTACAAACTACATTCGACGGGAAGCGCTTCTTAGCATCTTCGCATATAGCTCTATCGAAATAGAAAAATGTGAACCCAAATTAAAAAAAAAAAAAAAAAAAAAAA